CCCTTGGGATCAGTTGAACTTCAAAAGTTCTCAGCTTTGCAATGACTGATTTGATCTTGGCAAGATAAGCTATCATGGAGGGCTCTTTGGCCTCGTAGCTGCCACCGATCTGATATGCAACTAGCTGAGAGTCTGTCTTCAAGCAGACATGCTCGGCTTCCAGGGAGATGCACAATTCTAGGCCAGCGATTGCTGCCTCATATTCAGCTTCGTTGTTCGAAGCCTTAAAAGAAAATTTTAGTGCATACTCAAAGGATTTGCCTTCGGGAGAGGTTATCACTACCCGCCCCCGAACCATTTACGGTGGAGGATCCATCCGTAAACACGGTCCAGATTTTCTTTTCATCGGCCAAGAAGTCCGCTAGAGCTTGAGCCTTGATAGTAGCCCTCGGCTGGTAGCTGATGCTGAATTCGATGAGCTCAAAAGTCCACTTGGCCAGCCTACCAGATTTTTCAACTTTGCCGAGAACTTTTTCCAGCGGCTGATCAGTTAAGACCACTATCTGATGGCAATCAAAATAGGGCCTCAGCTTCCGAGCAGCTACCACTACTACGAAGGCGACTTTCTCGAGTAGAGGGTAGCGGGTCTCGGCATCTGTCAGAGTATGACTGACGAAGTAGATCGGTTGCTGAATTTTGTTTTCTTCCTTCAGCAGCACTGCACTGATGGTGGCTGGGCTAACAGCCACGTACAGATACAAAGATTCTCCCTCTGCTGGGCTAGCCAGCGTTGGGAGTTGAGCCAGATGCTCCCGAAGCTGCTTGAAGGCTTCTTTTTGCTCTTCTTCCCAAACGAGCTCTTTTGTTTTTTGGGAGTTTCAGGGCTTTGAAGAAAGGTAACCCCTTGTCCGAAGCTCTGGAAATGAACCTCGACAGGGCTGCCATTCTTCCGGTGAGCCGCTGAATATCCCGCTTTGTTTTCGGCTCAGGAAGATCGAGCGCTGCTTTGACTTTGGAGGGATTGGCATCAACCCCCCTCTTGCTGACCATGAACCCAAGGAATTTCCCTGACTTCACGCCGAAGACACACTTCTTCGGATTCAGCTTCATTTGGTGCTTTCTTAAGGTGGCGAAGGTTTCAGCCAGTTCCTTAACATGGTCCTCAGATTTTTTGCTTTTGACGATTGAATCGTCAACATAGACTTCCATGTTTCGGCCCTTTTGATCGGCAAAAAATTGATCCACCAGCCTTTGATAGGTTGCCCCCGCATTTTTCAATTCGAAGGGCATCATTTTATAATTATACACCCCGGCGTTCGTGACGAATGCCGTCTTTGCTCGATCGTCAAGGTGCATGAAGATCTGATGATACCCCGAGAATGCGTCCATGAAACTAAGCAAGGCATGGCCACTTGTCGAGTCAACTAACTGATCGATCCTCGGCAAGGGATAGAAATCCTTCGGACAAGCCTTATTTAGGTCCATGAAGTCAACGCACATTCTCCAGGTGCCATTGGCCTTCTGAACCATCACCACATTTGCCAGCCATTCTGGATACTGGCAAGGCTCGATGAAGCCTGCGTCCAGCAACTTTTTGACCTCGGCTGCGATGTCTCGGTTCTTATTAGCGGAGTAATTCCGCTTCTTTAGCTTAATTGGCCGACACGTTGGGTCAACATTAAGCTTATAGGAGATGAGGTTTGGACTTATCCCGGGCATATCAGCTGCCGAGAAAGCAAACACATCTCTGTTGTCCCAAAGGAGTTGAATAAGTTCACAACGGGTGTTCGGATCGAGGTCCATCCCGATTGTTACACATTTCTCAGAGTCTCCTTCGGTCAACTCAACCGTTTCGGTCTGCTGGTCCATGTCCATTGCTGATGGGCTGGACTCCTCACAATCTGGCCTGCTGTCTATGTCAGCGGGCGTCCCAGACTTCTTCTTCTTCGGCTGGCTCTCTGAGTCTTTCGGCTCAGATGAAGAGCTAGCCTTTTCTTTTTCTGGCCCTCTTTCCTTGGGCGCAGAACCTTAGGCCGAAGCACTTAGACCTTTCGGTTTTTTTGTGCTCGGCTCTCTTTCTTTTTCTTTCTTCTCCTCATCCTCATCGTCATTTGGGCGACTAGGGGATGGCTTGAGGTAGTTGCACCTTCGGGCATCCTTTTGGCTACCCTGGATCCTTTCGGGGAAGCCGGCGTCTGAGACGTAAATTATCAGCTGATGATAGGTTGAGACGACCCCTTGAATCTCGTGAATTATGGGTCTCCCCAAAATCACGTTGTACACTGAAGGAGCGTCAATGACCAAAAATTCAGTCATGACGTTCCTGGCTGCCTCATCGCAGCCGATGGTGACAGGAAGTGTTACCTTCCCGTCTGGATAACTTGAAGCCCCGTTGAATCCGGATACCGGGTATGGTACCGGCGTAAGGTGCTTGGGCTTCAGCTTAATTTGATTGTAGGCCTTTCGGAACAGAATGTTTGCTCCGCTGCCACCATCAACAAGGACCTTGCTGACGTCGTGGTTAGCCACCGTGGCGATGATCACCAGCGGGTCCTCATGAGGGAATGTTACTCCCCGGCAGTCGGCGGCTGTGAACGTCATGTTCGGCACCGACGACTGAGGAGGCTGAATATCAGCGTTGTTCACATGGTGGGTCAGAGCCCTAAGGTGCCGCTTGTGTTCCCTCCTAGAGCATATTCCTCCCGAGATAACATTGATTGGAGAGAATTTTCCCTCCGCACTTTTGTTGTTCTTCCGGGGGAAGTCAAGGTCCTTCCGAGAGTCCTTTGACTTCTCGGCCTCCTTTTTCTCGCGGTAATCCGCGATGTATTTTTTCAAGTATCCCTTCCGAACCATGTCCTCGATTTTGTCCTTCAGCTGGATACATTCCTCGGTGTTATGTCCCGGTGATTCATGGAACTCGCACCACTGATTTTTATTTTTTCGCTGATACAACTCTGGAAGTGGTCTCGGCTTTTTGTAACTCTACTCCTCCTTCGTCACGCTGTAAATTTTGGCGCGTGGAAGAGAGTGGAGTGTAGGACTCATATCTGCCTGTGAATGGGGCAGATTTTTCCTTCTTCGGCTAGTTGGCCGAAGATTGCTCCGAGGCTTTCGCCTTTCCTTTCGTCTTCTGGCCTTGGCCTTCGGACGGTTGTTTTTGTTTCCCATTCCCAGTTGGGGTTGGGCTTTTGTTTTGTTCCACTCCTCGGCTCGGATGAATTTATCCGAGGCGTTCAGAGCTTCCTCCAAGGTCTGCGGGGTGTGCATGACCATGAAGTCTAGGAACTTCCCGGGCTGAAGGCCATTCTGCATTGCAAAAACAGCTAGCCCTTGGTTCAGCTGAGAGACGCTGGATGACTCGTTGCTGAAACGGGTCAGGTAGTCCCGGAGACTTTCGGTCTCCCCTTGCTGCAGGCCCATGAGCTCAGCAGTGGTTTTCTCTCGGCGGTTTGCCGTGGAGAATTTGCTCTTAAATTTGGTGGACAGGTCGTCCCACCCTGTTATAGAGCCCTCCTTCACTCCCTTGGAGATCCACGCTTGCGCGACCCCCTTAAGAGTGGTGGGAAAGTATTTGCACCAGGTTGCTTCGGACTTTAGACAGAGATGCATGTGCCCCTCGTAGGGGGCGATATGGTCCTTTGGATCCGAAGTCCCATCATATGTGATGTGCGACGGTATTTTAACCGTGGGCACATGCTCTTCCAGAATCCATCGCTCGAATGGGGAACTGGTAGGTAGCATAACGGCCTTGCTTTTGTTCCTGGCCGAAGGGACCGCGCTCCGCCTTCCTAGGGAGGTAGGAGTGGTTTTTCGTCCCTGGCTGGGAATTCTGGGCCTCGGCTACAGGGAACGAGAGGCGGCTGTGCACACTCGGCTCCCTGCCGCTGAGTCGGTCGAGTACGCTTCGGCGGGCAGTCTCAGGTTGCTCTCGGCAGGCAGATTCTGGCCGAGAGGCTGAGCTGCTGCTCTTGTGCGTTTCTGGCCGAGAGGTTGAGGATCCTTTGAAAAATTGAGGGTTCTTTTTCCTCTCTCTTTCAGTTCTCCAAGTATCCTCTTCCCACTCTTCCAGCTCCCGAAAGGAGGGAGGCCTCCCCCCGTCATGGTATGCGGAGGAGTTCGATCGCGAGGTGGAGGCATATTTTGTGCCCTCATTGCCTCCATGAGCACTGCCAGCGCTCTCGCCACCTCCTCCGAGCTGGGCCTCGTCAAAGGGGTCCTCGGCTGAGTGTGAGAGTGAGAGCGGATGGTCGAAGGTTGGCTTTGGGGCACTGAATGAGTCCTATGATCGGGCTGACCTCTGTTAGACCGAGGTGGACTCGGTCTATGATGAGAGTTGTGAATTACGGGAGAAAGAGAATCCTCCCGGTATGATCCTCCCTCCGAACTAAGACCCTTAGGAGAGTTCCGGTTCGGCGAAGGTGATGGCGTAGGAGTTTTAGGCCTTTCGCCTGCTCCTTGACAAAGGTTTTTGCTCTTGCGGTTCTTAGGTATTGTCACTAAGATGATTGCAAGATGATTTTAACTACAGATTTTTGAAAGTCTTCCCCACAGACGGCGCCAAATTGTTTCGGATGAAAACAATGGGACCTTGCCAAAGGTCCGATGAAGTGGTGAAGACTGGATTCGGTCCAAGTGATGTTGGGTCGAAGGTTTCCTGCACAGCAAACACACGTAAACTAGCTTCGGGGGTGTTGCCGAGGAAGGCCCCTCCGATGCTAAAGTCAGCACAATGTGTAGAGAGAAAAAGCTATGCAAGAGAATTAATTGCTTGAGGGTTTTGTGAAAATCCCCGTACAAATGTGATATTGATGGCTTTTATACCTTTGCATATATGGGGGATGTGGGCCTTGGCCCAATTGACTTGCCTTGTGGAATGATCTTGACTTTAGCACAATTGGAGAGTTGAACCTTGACCTTGGGCTTTTAATTAGATCATTTAATGTCTAGGCCCAATTGGACTAAATTGGACCCAAACAGTTCCTATAATATAAAAACATTATGAAATGTATCAATTCGTGCATTGTAAATAAAAACCATTGAATAAATAACAAATAATACCATTGTTGTCTTCTCCTTCATTTATAGGTATTTCATCATCATAACTTCTAATCATGTCTGCATTGTTGAAATCTTCTTGTCTTTTTAAAGTAATGTCATCTCTTGTTTGATCTAAACTGTTATCACCTTCTCGACCTTGCAAATCATTATCATTATTGTTTCCAGAGTGTTACGCTTCATCTCGTCCTATATCAAGTACATTTTGGGGCAAGTTAGTAGAATATACCAAAATTAAGAAATCGCATGAATATTTCCTTGTATACCTCTTCCGGTTTTATCACCGTTTTTATTTCCTTGTCTTGCCTGTCTTTTTTTATTTGATCATAATAACCTAGCAATTGACATTGGTGGAATGAGATTGCTCCTTCGATCCCCTTCTTTGTTCTCATTAATTTTAACCTGAAATTTTTTATAATAAAGAGTAGGTAACCAAATATAAGATAATGCATGATTATTAGATAGTATCCAAGAAAAACTTTACGAAAAATAAGTCAATACCTTCTTATTTGAAGTCACATTGTGAGTTTCTTTCTCATACTCAACTTCCTCATTCTCATCGGGTACATAATCACTATCTTTCTCAAGAGATGCATTACACTTTTCTTTACTTTTCTTAACTTTTGAGCTATCTACTAAACTTGTCAAAGAAGCGGCAATGCGCTTTATGCCCAAAGTCTTCATCCTCGTCTTGTTAGCTTCAATTGTCCTGAGTCTTTGTATTTCATACTCATTTTGAGCTATGTAGTTTTCTTTTGAAGGAGCCTTTCCTCCTGATCTTGACATATTGGAGCTAAAGAAGAAAAACTATTAGAAATCAAAGTGATAAACTACGGTAAGTATGTGCATGAATAAAATCATTACAATAAATCAAATCCTTGTAAAATTATTTAAACCAAATAATATTTTAATTACTGGATTAATTTGTCGATTTGACACATTAAGAAACCTTAAATGTCATAAAATTGTCTTTTATGTATTTGAACCTACATATAAAAGTAGTTTGTCAACTATTCAACCAAACAAAACAAAATTTCATACCTTAATCAAAGTTAATAGCCAAACAGAGTACCTAAATTGAACTTACGCTTCCCACCCAAAATAGCATCACCCTGACTAAACACTCACCCTTTTCTTTCTTTTCTCTCTACTCCCACAATCTTTCTCTTTTCTTTAATTATCACTCGAATACACATATTTGTTTTATTATTATTAGTGTTTTGATTATACAGAAAACAAAAATGATGGGTAATATGAGAAATATGGACTCTCAATCATAACCAAAAGGGCGGTTCGGTAATCGGGTACGGGTATGGTCTTACGACAGATCTCACAAAAATCATTAATCTACAGATATTTGCACAAAATTCAACCAATAATCAAAACATTCGTTATAGTATAATAATAGACCGCAAACTTCAAAGTTGATACATTTTATCATTCAATTAAATTTCACAATCAAAGTAGTTTAAATTAAAAAGTATAAATAACAATAAATTCGTAGTTCAATCTAAAAATTTAGAATACTATCATATTCAAAATAATAAAAAAAATCATATTTAAAATAATTAAAAAACAACAAAAAAATTACTTCTATTGATGAATTAAACATATTAATTACCTTGGACGGTGATAAATACTCCAACAAATCAAATTCGACTGCTTCCAATCGCTATTTTCTTCGTCTGAGTTCTCTGAGTTCGAGTAGTAAGATTTATTTTAAATCTAACTTTTGAGATTGCTTAGTGTAAATTTATAGGAGGAAAATTTAAAAAAAGGATAGACAAGGGGATTATTTACCACATGTATTTTAATTGTGAAAATTTTAGGAGGGAATAACAGATGAAAATAAAAAAATTCCCTCTCAATTTTTGGGGTTAATTCAGTTTTGAAAATTTCACTATTTTGGATCATAATTCCGCCAAGATGATCAAGAATTTTATTATTTTCCATTTTTTCTGATTTGTTGAAATTGAAGATAAGTTAGGAAGATTTGGTGGGTTGTTTGCTTCTTTTTGGGGAAATAATGGCGGAACATACGAAGGGCTTTGTTTAAGGTGTTGGGGTTTTCTTTTTTTTTTTTTCTTTTTTTTGTTTTGCCTTATTATATTTGTTTGCTTTCCTCCGTTTTTTTGTATGGGATGGGAAAGGAACGATGGGAAAAGATTGAGATCTAGAGTACAATATACATTAACATTATACAACATACTTTCATACATTATACAAAATGAGTTGACTTTTATTGCACTGTTTGTTTACTTAATTTAACTAAAGGTTTTATCAATACATAAAAAAAAATGTGTTGCTATGTAAAATACCTTTGCATTGGTCTTACGTAAATTATCATTGTATCAAATTTTTATACTTAATATACAAATATTTCTTCGCACAAATATAAGTCAAATTGTTCTAATTATTATGAAATAGAGAAGGGTATTACAAGTGTACAACATAAACTCTTGTCTTATGTGTAGTATAAAAAAACTCAAGTGGTACGTAAATACTCCTTTCGTGTTTTTTTAAGTGTTACACTTTGATAGATACGTAATTTTAGAATAATTTAACTAACTTAAATAAAAATAAGAGTAGTAGTTTATTACTTATTAAATCACAGACATATTAGAAATATGAAGAGAGTATCAACATATCAATTTGTTGAATATCAAGATACTATTTAAAATTAAATCAATACATAAAATAATTAGAGTTTGTCTTTCCAAGATAATAAGACAAGGTATATTTTAGATAGCGTGAAGTTACATTAGTTTTCCAAGTATTTCATATGTAATTATAATAATTTACTACTCAATTTTATTTATTGTGCAATTGTCACACTCAAATTTAATTATAACAAATTGGTTATATTCACATTACATAATCTAAGTTAATATCAACTTAACTTCAGCTTAATTTTAGTTCAGTTCAGCTCCAATCAGTTCATTTTAGTTCCTAATTTCCTTCTCTCATAAACAATTCATTTCAGCTCTATTCAGTTAAGTTCAATTCAGTTCCTCAATTTCCTTCTCTCATAAATAATTCATTTCAGCTCTATTCAGTTCAATTCATTTAAGTTCAGTACCGCTTAGTTGTTATTCAATAAATCAGAATAGGCCCTTAGTGTATGTATGTAGTGTCATAGTTTAGTCAATATAAGGAAATCTGTTAATTTTATACTCTCATTCATCTACACATAAGCTAGTTTTGCCTTATAGCATGTTCAATTCAGCTTAATTTCAATTCAGTTCAGTTAGCTCCAATCAGTTCAATTCAGTTCAGTTCTTAATTTCCTTCTCTCATAAAATATTCATTTCAGCTCAGTTTAATTCAAATCAGTTCAGCTCCAATTATTTCAGTTCAGTTCAGTTCAGCTCCAATCAACTCAGTTCAGTGCAATTCAGTTTAGCTTAGTTCAATAAATGTGAACAAACCCTCAAAGTCTATAAAAACTCACACGTGTTAATTATTTAAAGTGTTATATTCCTTCCATTTCATATTAATTATAACACTTCTATATTAGGAAAAAATCCATCATTATTTTATAATTTCTCTCTCACACTAACCCCACTTTAACAAGTATTATACTTCCTCCGTTCTTTTATTATTGCACCATAAGGGTTTGACACAAATTTTTTGATAGTGGAAGAAAGGATGAGAGAGAAAGGTAGAAAACTGCCTTAAAAGGTAAGTGGTGCAATATTAAAAAAAAACGGAGGAAGTATTATTTTTCTTTCCTACCAACCTTACCCACATTAATTTTTTTTTTGTTATTTTTTTCTCTTACTAACAATACTTTATATTATAAGCCTATAAGCTTAGTCTACAATAAATATATATAGTATGTTTGTTGTATTGGACTTATTACATAAATTTAAAGAAATAAATACCAATTTAAAAAATAAAATAAAAGGACATCCCTAATGTCGTATACTCGTATTATAGATTCATAGGCCAGTATTAAAAAAAAAAAAAAAAAAAAAAAGGTGAAATAACCCCTACAATGTTGGCCTTAGTATCCTCCACCGCCAAATCTTCCCATATCTTCAATTTCAACAGCACTAGCCCCAAAAATTTATAGAAAATTTATAGAAAGTGAAATAACCTCTATCTTAGCACGTACTTCTCAAGTTCCCTGCTCAGCCACGAGTCACCGAGTCACCGAGACGGAGCTCTTCTCGGCGGCAAGTCGGCGACCTGATAGAGTGACGGTGTTTAGGGGGTGCTCACTGTTCAGTGCTCTCGGGTTCCAACTCCTCCAAGGCTCCAATTAAGGTTCTCTTCTTGAGTTCTTTCCTTCCTCTTTTGTTTCAATTAGATTCTGTTTTTTTTGGTTAAATGGTTAGAATTTGAGATTTTGAGTATGAATTCAATTATAAATTGAATAATTGAATTGAATTGTAGATTTCAATTAGTGAAGTAGGTTGATTGTTGAATTGTTGAATTGAATCTGCCAATTGCCAACTGCCTTACTGCCTAGTTGAAGTTCTAAATTTTTTTTTAATTAAATTGAAGCTGTAATGATGATTGAACTTGCAACTATGAAATAAATTAATAATGATATGTTCTAATACAAACTTAATAAACCCTTTTTTTTTTTTGAAACCACAAACTTAATTACTTAATAATGCTACATTGCTACAGATTTCAGAAATCTAATTTAATGAAGAGATCCCAAGAAAGAAGTATTTCCATTTTTTTTCAAAAAGAACACAAAGAGAACCACCTGATTTGTTACTTATTTGGAGAAAGATTTGTTCTTGAAAGTACTCTTTTCATTATTTTTGTGTTGTGTATAATTGATTATGTAATTGTCATTTATGTGCTATAAATAGTTTATTTTCCTGAATTTCTGTTCGCTTAATTTTGTGATTATTTATTTGCAGTTATGTTACAACATCTTTAATGTAATTAACTTGTTTATACATTCTTACCAAAAAAATAAAAAAAAAACTAATAAAAACATTTTAATATGATAATTATATAGGAGATCATGGTGTCAAAGAATCGCGAGTGGATGCAATACAAAAAAAGTGACCCTAGGTACAAGATTGGTGTAAAAGAGTTTCTAGAATTTGCTTTTTCACAAAAGAATGCCAAAGCTGTAGTGCCTTGCCCATGTGTTAAATGCAACAATGAAAGAAGAAAATGTAGAGACGAAATAGAGTTAGATTTGCTTAAATTTGGGATTGTTAAGAGTTATACACGTTGGTTGCGACATGGAGAACGGGTTGATGATTCAACAATTCTTGATAATATTATAGATGAGTCAAATGAATACCAATTGCATGAGCATGATGTCATGTCTGATATGCTACATGATGCCTTTGGAGTACAATCTGACAATGTCGTGGGGGACGAGACAATTGGTGTGAGTGAAAGCAAAGATCCTCCGGAAGCAACAAAAAAACTTTTACAAACTAATGGGTGATCTTGAGTTAGAGTTGTATCCTGGCTGTAAGCAATTCTCAAAACTGTCTTCCTTGCTTAAGTTATTCCACATAAAATGCTTAGGTGGAATAAGTGATAAAAGCTTGTCTATGATTCTTGATCTATTTAAAGAAGCATTGCCTGAAGGTAACACTCTGCCAAAATCTTTTTATGATGCTCAAAAGATGATAAAGAGCCTTTCCCTTGAGTCTATCAAAATTGATGCTTGTCCTAATAATTGTATGCTACTCTGGAAGGATCATGCTAATGCTGATGAATGTGTAAAGTGTCATGCTTCTAGATGGAAAATTGATGAACGTAATAATGAATCTTCAACGTCACAATGTAAGCCTAGAAGGACTCCTAGAAAGACAATGCGTTATTTTCCTTTGATTCCCAGGCTTCAAAGAATGTATATGTCATCTAAAACTGCAGCAAGTATGAGATGGCATAGTGATGAGTGTGTTGATGATCCTGATGGTATAATGAGGCATCCAGCGGACTCTAAAGCGTGGAAATTTTTTGATGAAAAATATCCTTCATTTGCCTCCGAACCTCGAAATGTTCGCCTTGGGTTAGCAAGTGACGGGTTTAGTCCCTTTAGAAATGGTCATATTGCTCATAGTACATGGCCGGTAGTTCTTATACCATATAATTTACCTCCATGGCTTTGTATGAAGCAACATTCTTTCATTCTTTCAATGCTTATACCAGGTCCTAAGGGGCCGAAAGATAAGATTGATGTTTATTTGCAACCTTTAATAGAGGAGCTAAAATTACTTTGGGAAGTTGGTGTTGTAACACATGATGCTTCAAAGAAAGAGAACTTTAAAATGCATGCATCTTTGTTATGGACTAGAAGTGATTATCCTGCGTATGGTGATTTATCAGGTTGGAAAACGGGAGAAGTTGTTGGTTGTCCGTCTTGTAATAGCGATACTAGTTCTGAGTGGTTACCAAATGGAAATAAACAGTGTTATATGTGTCACCGTAGATTCTTACCTTTAGATCATAAATGGAGATATGATGGAAGAACCTTTGATGGGAAACAAGAGCTGAGACCTGCACCTAGACCATTATCCGATGAGGAAGTGTTACAGCAAATTGATGCTGAACAAGCTGAATGTAATAAGAAAAAGAGAAAGCGTGATAAGAAAAAGACAAAACAAAAGAAATTATGGCGAAAGAAGAGCATTTTTTTTAATTGCCATATTGGAGTAGTCTTTTGATACGTTATAATTTGGATGTAATGCATATAGAAAAAAATGTGTGTGAAACTGTACTTAGTACACTATTGGATATTGAAGGAAAAACTAAGGACAATTTGAGCGCACGTCTTGATCTAGTTGAAATGAAAATTAGAAAGTCATTGCACCCTATAACATATCCTGATAAATCAAAAGAGCTACCTCCAGCTCCTCATACATTATCTTTGGAACAAAAGAGAGATTTGTGTAATTTTTTGACTAATGTGAAGTTTCCAGATGGCTATGCTTCAAATATTTCAAAAAATTCCCTCCTTAAAGAACGTAAACTCTCTGGATTAAAAAGCCATGATTATCATGTTATTATGGAGCATCTATTGCCTCTTGCTATACGTGGTTGGCCTAAATCATTGTCTTCTCCACTTATTCAATTGAGCACCTTTTTCAAAGATTTATGTTCAAAGGCTTTAAAGATTGATGAGTTAGAGAAACTCGAAAAACAAATTGGGGTTACCCTATGTGAGCTAGAAAGAATTTTTCCTCCTTCCTTTTTTGTGATCATGCTACATTTACCCATTCACCTTGCAAGTGAAGCTTTGATTGCGGGACCAGTTCATTATCGTTGGATGTACCCCATTGAAAGGTAGAAAATTTTCATTTTATTTTTATTTTTTTTATAGTAATAATAATAAATAAATATGTAATGTTTAATTTTTTTATAGGTATCTTGGAAAATTAAAAGGGTATGTACACAATAAAGGTCACCCTGAAGGATCGATAGCAGAAGGGTATCTCTTAGAGGAATGCTTGACATTTTGTTCAAGATATATGGAGGATATAGAGACAAAAATTTAACAAACAAGATAGAATTTATGATGATCGTGAAATTTTTCCAATTGATATCCTACCTATATTTGAGACAAGAGGTAGAGCATTCGGGAAGGAATGTCCTCGTTTACTTACTACAAAGGAATGAGAAGAAATTCACTTTTATGTTCTGAATAATTGTGACGAAGTTCTACCATTTATTGAGTAAGTTTTATATATTTTAGTAAGTATAAAGTTTACTTTTATAGAAAATATATAACTTTACTAATTATCAATCACAGTACACTCGCAATGCTACAAGTAACAAGAGGATGATTTCTTCTCATGAAAGAGAATTTATAAAGTGGTTTAGAGATCAAGTAAGTGTTTATTTATTTCCTATATTTTTTCTATTTTGAAAATATATCTTTTATTATTTCATGAAATGGTGTAGAGATCACAGTGATTGATCTAGTTGCTGAAAAGTAATTATTTATTTTGGTATATATGATGTGTATGACTCCAACATGAATTAGGATTTGCTTCATGATCTTTATTATGTAGAAATAGAATCTCATATGTCTTTGTGCAAAAATCGAGAAAGCATATGATTTATGGATGGTTCTTGATATCTTTTTAAGTGGCAGCAACATTAGTTGGGTGAGTTAGAATAAATCAAGACAAGTATGTCAAACTGCTACTACAGTACAATGTTGCATTCATTTTAGTTATCTGAACAAAAGTAATGCCCCTGAAAAAAGGGGGAAGGGGGAAAAGGAGGGATATTAGAGTTGTGTTTATGAGAGGTGCATTGTTATAATCATATACAATTTTGGGGTTGAGGAGCACTGTATTTTTCATTTCCAAATTCAATTGAGTAGTAGTAATAAAAAGGACCCACTAATTAAACTATGATTCATGTTTGGTGTTTTTGATGGCTTCTTATGTTTTTAGTCATATACGGAGTATTTTAGAAAATGATGTATCTTACACTAGCTCATGCTTTTGTAACATTATCACTTTAATTGCAAGAGCTAGGTTGAGTCCATGTGATTTGATAATGATTTGGGTTTCCCCATTTTCATTTTAGACACAAATTTAATGACATAATAAATTTTGGATTTGAGGATGTACTGCTAAACAAAGTTTTAATGAAATTAACTGTTGTATTATTGATGCAAGCATCTTGTGTGATTCTCTTTGGTGAATCTATGCTTTCCTTGATTACAACATAGATAATCTTTTAATACATTATGGTTAAGTATTTTTAACATCATTTTTTTTATAATCTTCTAATTTATATATTTTATCAATCTTATAGGTGACAATTTTATCAAAGGATAACCATCCAAGTGCTACTACTAACTTAAGAGCATTAGCACAAGGTCCAGATCGTGCAGTGATTTCTGTAAACGACTACATGGTTAATGGATTTATGTTTCGTGCAAAGGATAGTGAAAGGGGAAGAGAAACTCAAAATAGTGGGATCGTTGTGAATGGAGAAACTGGATCATCAACCCTTGATTATTACGGCCTCTTACAAGAAATCATAGAAGTTCAATACCTTGGAGGAAATCGCGTCACTTTGTTTAAGTGTGACTGGTGGGATGTGCATAGTCATGGTCGAGGGATCAATAGCGATTGTTTTGACTTCGTAAGCGTTAATACATCAAAGTTGTTAGCTAATGATCCTTACATTTTAGCTACACAAGCTCACCAAGTGTTTTATGTCAATGATGTTTTGAAGCCAAATTAGAAGGTTATAGTTAAGACCACACCAAGAAACTCCTATGATGTTCCGGAGCTCAATGATCATGATGAAACTAATTATATAGATACTATATATCTATGACCCTTTATTATTATTATCTTTTTCTTTTAATATAATTGTAAAACTATTGCCGTCTAAATATAGGTGATGTTATTTTTTTAATATAATGATTTGAGAGGAGTCCATCAATTATTCCAAGTAATTACAGAATGGAATGGACCATAAGAGATTGTCTCAATAAAATTATTATTGCCGTAATAAGAGTTTTATATGAGTAGTAATTTATAGAACTTTCGCAGCTTTCTTATTGTATGTGCTAGTAGCTATGGAGTAGTTGATAGTCTTGCCTTATTTTTCTACTCTTAATATTTATTTAGATACATATTAAATTTATTGTAGGAATACCAAAATTATATTGTAAATACATTGAAAAAATAAAATATAGAGGCAGATATAGATACAAGGGTATAATTTTGGGGACATGGATACCATTAGAAGTAGTGCCTGACTTGGTGTGCCTCCTTTTTTCACTTGTAGATGTTAGATAGTTGACAATTGATTTGCAAAAAAAAAAAAAAAAAAAAAAAAAAAAAAAAAAAAAAAACTTGACAATTATATTGTTACACGAAAAGTGTGATATGAAAAAGGGCGTAATAATTGACTCTAACTCAACAACCTTCGAACTCCATTGAATTGATTTAAATATCCGGATTCTTCTTCAATTCCTTGATGATCATAGCTTAATGAATTATCAAGCCAATTAATTAGAATAAAAATAATAACTAAAAATTATGAAATTAAACAAGTTTACTTGAATTGTAGTATAATTATCCGATATAATTCTAAAAATTTTGCACATAAATTCTGTGATATCTATAGTCTATACATACAAATTTACTCCGAAAAATTAAAAAACTATTAAGCTACTTTAATCTGAGCGATGGAGGGTGTGAAAACTAACCAAAAGGTAAGATCTATAGAGAGAAAACTAACCAAGTAAATGTTGCAAAATGGAATTAAAAAGCTTAAAAGGTTTCCAAATGAAAGGCTTTTGTACAAGGCTTGCACAAGAAGAATAACCACTTAATTATTTCTCTATTCATGAATCAATATACATACAATTTCCGTTTTTTTTTAAAGTCCACTTACAAACTTTTAGAGGCAACCATAATTTCTCTATTGCTATATAAAAAAAAAACTTTTAGAGGCAACATAAAATTCATTATTGCTATAAATTTTAGAGGCAACCAAAGTTTCACTAATGCTAAAAATGAACTTTTAGAGGCAAATATAAATTCACTAATGCTAAAACTAACATTTAGAGGCAACAATAACTTCATTGATGCAAAAAAGAATATTTAGAGGCATCATATAATCCGCTGTTGCAAAAACTACCATTTAGAGACAATCATACTTTAATTGATGCTAAATATATCTTTTAGAGGCTATGAAAAATTATTTGCCTCAAAGTTTTGCCTCTATAGATAAATTTTCTTGTAGTGATTCTCCTTGTTAGCCATTCATAGTGAACCCTTGCTTGGTTTATAGGAGATAACCGTTAATTTCCTTTGATTGCAACTATTGTTTGCCCCTTGCAATGTTTGAATCAATTGAGTGAATCTATCAATTAGCATAATAGTTAAGCTTGCATGTGGAACCTATATCCCTAGTGTTTAGCAATATTGATTGAATTCTTTGATTTTTCTTGATTCTTGATATCCTAGTCACCAACCTCAACTATTGATATTCTTCGATTTAGCTTGACAATAGCTATAGCATAGTTCCTATTCATTCCTTTGGGTTCGACCCTTGACATACCGCATACTTGTATACGGTCTGTTAAGTGTTTATAAATTTAGTTTGACCAAGGGAGAATTAGATGACGACCTAATTTTACCCCTTGTCAAAATGGCGTTGTTGTCGGGGAATGACATTGGTGCTTTGTTATAGTTGTTGAGTCTATTTCATTTAAAAAAAAAAGATTTTTCTCTTTAAGGCTACACTTGTAGCCGTGCTACTAATCATTTCCTTTGAGTTGTATGCATAGAACACGTGATCATTTACTAGTGACATTTGATCCGGAGATTGAGAGGACTATTACAAGATTAAGGGTTGCTAGGGGATCTTTGAGCTCTAGCATTTCAAGTGAGGAAGAACCGCAACAAGAAGAACAAGCAAGAATGGGAGAGAATCCGAGAGTGGCATTGAAAGAATTGAGGATTCCCGGTGCATATAGATTTGAGAGTGGAATTGCTCCACCTACAACACCAGTAAATGATTTTGAAATTAGGCCGGCTATGATCACTTTGACAGAGAGGCGACAATTTAGTGGAGCCAAGAATGAGAGCTCGCTAAATCATCTCAAGAAATTTGAAAAATACTGCAATACTATCAAGGTGAACGGAGTTTCCCAAGAATTCATCCGCCTCAAGCTCTTTCCCTTTTCTCTCATTGGGCGTGCTTTGGAATGGCTTGACAAGGAGGTTAAGCCGAATTCTCTAATGACATGGGTCGAGGTTATAAAAGAATTTCTAACCCGTTTCTATCCACAAAAGAAAACGACGGAGGCAAGAGCTTTGTTTCAAGGCTTCAAACAAAAGCCAAGTGAGAGCCTCTATGAAGCATGGGAGAGATATAAGGAGTGTCAAAGGGAGTTTCAAAGGGAGTGTCCTCACCACGGAATTCCAACCTATCAAATTATTAAAATTTTCTATGGATGCCTAAGTCCCCAAGGCAAGTCATGCCTAGATGGAGGAACCGGAGGTCCCATCATGAATAGGACGGAAGAAGAAGTGGTGGACATCATTGAGGATGTTGTGAGGTACTATAGAGATTGGCAAGATGGTGAAAGAATCAACTAGCAAGAGTAGCTCTTTGGTGTACTCGGTTGATTTTGGTTTTGATTACCATGATGCAAGGGAACCGATAATAATGTATTGATTACAATTGCATTGAAGATCTCCATAATCAATCAATGACCACTTCTTGATTTTGATTACCATAATTTTGGTTTTGATTTTGGTTTTGATTTTGGAGAATAGAGTAGCTCTTTGGTGTACTCGGTTCCCTTGGTTCATATGATCATGATGCTAGTAATTGCCCTCATGCTTATCTGGATGGTAATGATTATTTTGATAACAATGAGGGTGAACATGTGAACTATGTGTCAAAACAATAATAATGTTCAAAGGTTTGATAATCAAAGGGGTCAATGGAATAGGAATTATCAAAACCAAGGTAATTTTGACAACTATAACCAAGGTGGTGGTTATAGGAACCAAGGTTCTCGAGGTAATAATAACAATCAAGGTTATAGTAGCCAAAATCAAAATTAAAATTATGGTAATCAAAACCAAGGTTATGTAAATCATAATCAAGATGGTGGTAACCATAATCAAGGTTATGGTCAAAATCAAAATAGGGGTAATTGGAACAATCAAGGGAGAGGCAATTTTCAAAATAATGCTCAAAGAGGCCCTCTACCCAAATTTGCTCCAAAGACTCATGTTGATAATTCTATTCACAATCCTCTTGATTATCAACATGAGTCTCAAAGAGGTCCAAAGAAATCATTAAAAATCAAACAAAGTCGTTAAACACTTACATGGCTGTAAGTGATAAGAAATTTAATGAGATGATGACTCATAATAAGATGCTTGAAAACCAGATTTCTCAACTTGCTAATGCTTTGAAAGACCATGCTAGTTCTTCTTCTTTACCTTCCCAAGGCTTAGATCCCAAGAGACCCGTGAATGCTATTGTTACAAGGAGTGGTAAGGTTCTTGAGGAGAGTTTGCCTAGGAAGAGTGGAACTAGGGAGGTCCCCAACAAGGTCTTGGTAGAGGATGAGAGAAATGGTGCTTCCGATTGGGCCACTTGGACGGGGGTAAAATACCCAGAACATCATTCAAAATCGGTGAAGGACTGATAAAATTGTTAACCAGATATACATCCAGAAGAAAAGGAAAATAAAAATTGTTACTCGACTCCTCAGTCGGTTAAAAGACAAAGATACCCGGCTTGTGGGCCGGAAAGACTAAAATGGCATACTGTCGTAGAATAAGAAAGGAGGCTAAGCTAAGGCTATTGGGTCTGCTCCGACTGGTCCTGGCCTGCTGGGATGTTTCTTTCATTTTTCCTATCCAGGACCTGGCCATCTTAGACTTGATCAGTCTGGACTTCATTAGCTTGGACCTGATCCGATTGATTAGCAGCCTGCTCTTCCTCATCATCTGAAACTTCAAAGCCTTGCTTCAGGGCTCATGCCTTGAAAAGAGGTGGAGCTTGCACATTTAGCGCCTGAGCATCATACACCGTAGTGGAGTAATCATGTCTCAGCTTGAGCACCTCAAACTCAATGTTTGGGTGGAGCAGACTCCATGCAATCCACAAGCGAGCTTTAGTGTCCCGCTCATTTTCAACTACCATCCGGTTTTGCTCCTTAGCAATCTCATCTTGGTGCTGGTTCCTTTGCTGAACGATCTCGACACCTAGGCGGATGACGTCTCCCCTTAGTTGGGCGTTCTCCTTATCACCTCCCTCCAAGGCCTTGAGGTCAGATTGGGTATTCTTCAGATCCAGCTCAAGCTTGGCCACCCGGTCGTTAGCGGCGTCGTTAGCAGCTGTCAAGTTCTTTATCAGCTCCTCCTGTTTTAACTCTACTGCTTTAATTTCAACATCACACTTTTTTTTACTGAATTCAGCAGAGTAATGAGCTTGGGTGGCCCTCTTTTTAGCATCATTTACCTCTTATTGTTTCCGCCTGAAGGGGCCCGTCTACCCTCAGCATCACCTAAAAAGGTAGGGCCAGACGGTTGGTTAGCTGCACACTTGAAAATTTTAAAGTAAAAAGTATAAAGTGTGAAGTAGGTGCTAAGTTACTTTAGCCAGCAGGCCCTGGATTCGGTCAAAATCCACCGCCTGCAAATCAGGCACATAGTGTTTCTCTGTTCAGGTAAGGGTCCGCACCATCCTCTTGGTAAACGCCTACATGTCTGGCAGCCCTGAGGGGGTATCTACACCAAAAGAAGTACTTGGTGAGACAGCAGCATAGGCGCCACCTGACTCATGCCGGCTGCTCATTGAACCTTTAGACGGGTAGACTCGAGTCTTGACTCTCATGTAGTAAACCGACCATGGGAGTTCGATTTGTGTCTTACCTTGGACTTGGAGCTGAGAATACTCCGCTTTAGCCGCTGTATAGCCGACTTCAGCAGTGAGTGGCTCGCCACTCTTTGATGCTTCAGAAGCATCCGGCTTTTTCTCTTGCTCTGAGCTTTCACTCAGAGCTTTCCTCACAGCCGGGCTTTTTCGCCTAGTTGTGGGCCTGTCAGGGTTGGCTGAAGAAGTTGAACGGGGAGGGTCCTTTCTTGCTGTTTTAGAGGGGGTTTTGGCCAGCTCATTTCCCGGCGCTTGAATAGCTTTGTAATGGAGCGGGGAATTTACTTGCTACTACCCTGCAAATGAGAATCAAGTAACAGTCGGTCAACTTTCAGATTAAGGGAAAGGGGTACATCCGGTAAAAAATGAAGTTGCTAGGGCAAGCATAGCAAGCAGGCTTACCCCTCCTTTCTTAGCCACCTTGGCCTCCAAGGCGGCTCTCCTCTC